AAGCCTCTTAGGTATTGGTACAAAATGCAGACTTGCCATACATTAATGCTTTGCAGAAGTAAAATTCCAGTATATTTGAATAGGCTGGTAAATGTAATGGATACTAAAAGTAGCTACTATCTTTTGAGTATTTATTATATTTCAGCACAGCACTTATTCTTTTCATGTCCTATGTCCTTTAATTAATCTTGACAATAACTTTAGCTGTAGGAACTGTTCTTTTCCACCATTATAGATGAGGAAACCAGGTCTACAGGGCTAAATAGTTGATCTAAAGTCGTGCAGCTTCTAATTTGCAGCCCTGGAATTTGAACCCATATCTCTGATTTCAGAGCCCTTGCTCTCACCTCTATGCTGTACAGCCTCTTATTATCAAAAACCTCTTCTTGAACAAAGACCCTGGTGAATAAATGATTGAAGGGACATGAGCAGAATTTACAAAAGAAAAAATAATGAATAAACATTTAGAAAATGATTAACTCTCTAATAGTAAAATGAATGCAGATTAAACAGATTTTGCCTTTTAATTTAAAATTCTACGCAATGGGCACAGTCTGTACTGCCCGCCAGGAATCTTCCTACACGCAACTAAACTTCTGACTCGGAAGACTACCATAAGCCACACTTGGCATAAGATTAACTTAGAAGTAACGAGACAGAAATCACAGTTGCCAGCAGTGTGCAAGAAATGATTGTCTTTGACACCACCCTCTCCCCCTGTCCCGTGACAGTTCAGTTGCAGGGAAACAAGATTTACCTGGGACAAGGTGCAGAAGCTTCCCTGGCTTAGAAGCCTTATTTCCACAAAAGTCAATTGCTCTGACAACACTCCATAGATTTAGCTTCCAGGGTCCCCACAAGGGTTAGGCCCATTACGAGAGTCATCACGCCGGAAGCCTGAAGCCATACACATAAGGTGTAATTCTCCCAGTCTAGACACAGTTACCAGTGACGGTTATTTTTTATCACAAGCAGTGGTGACAGTGATACTCTTATGGTTTCAGTTTTCAGAGGAGAGGAGCTAGAAAGTTAACCAAAATTCAAATTCTCGTGGAGAAGGGCAAGGGGTTTTGTTAATCATTTATGCACCCACAGTAATTTGGGCACTCAGGTTGCTAGTAGCAATGTACATGGGTTTGGAAACAATCTTTTCAGTGAGTATGGATATCCTTAATATCTATTTTGTTGTAATATAAAACATTGGAAATATTTTCAATAACTAAGAACCATGGAATTGTTATATGCTAGCATACATCCACTGGATTGAATGATATACAGTTATTAAAAGCCATAGTAGGACTTTAGGGAAACCTGGGAGACACTACCTTTACCAAATGATCAAGGTTAACATCACCAGTGATAATTCATGGTGATATCATGTGGTGAGAAGGACACTTCACCTCTGTGATACTCTTCCCCAAAACCAAAAATTGCAGTCTAGTCATGAGGAAAACATCAGAGAAACCTATATGGAGAGCCATTCTACAAAACACTTGGCCAGTACTCCTCAAAATGGACAAGGTCTTGGGAAACTAGGAAAGACTAAGAAACTGTCACAGATGAGAAGAGAGTAAGAAGACATGATGATGAAATGCAACATGGTATCCAGGATTGGATCCTGCAGCAGATAAAAGGGCACTGTGGCAGAATTGGTAGAATGAGAAAGAAGTCTAGAGGATCACTAATAGTAATGTAACAAATGTTGGTTTGTTAGTTTCGACAAAGGTACTACTATAATATGAGATGATAACATTAGAGGAAATTGGATGAGGGGTATATGGGAATTCTCTATTACCTTTACAACATTTCTTTAAATCTAAAATTATTCCAAAATTTATTTTTTAAAAAATTCACAGTAGGAAAAATGCCAGTGTCAAGAAGTGAAAATGCCACGTGAAGTGGCATGTATAAATTCACTTGTATAAAAATATGTATTTATACATGTGTTTGTGTGTATGTGGCTATAAAGGTGGGGAGAGAATGTGTGTGGAGATATACATACAATTGAGTCATTATTGCAGTGGTTCTCCTCTATAAAGCCACTGTAAACACTCAGTTAGCAAACACTGAACCATTGCTCCTAGGGGAAACACACAGTTAGGTTCCTGTGAGCCTCTGGTCACAACATTTTGTTTAAAGACACCTTATTTAATAGATATTGCTAATTCATTAACACTGAACTCACGGCCAACAGCACTGTAACTCATCCCTTCTTGAGCTTAGGAACATAAACAGCACTTCAGCACTACACTTGGAGACCATTTTTAAATGCAAAAATGCAAAAACATGTCATTAAGTATACTGCAAAAGGACAGACACTTGTTTACC